GCATGCAACACGATAATCAAGGACCCTATAAGGCATAACGCGCATCCGACGCGACCAACATGTCCGAGCTCCTCTTTGAGTAGAAACGACGCCAGCACCGCCCTTAAAAGAATAACCCTTTAAGACGTGCTAGAGGTGCGAGTGCAATGAGACTCACCCTATGAGAACACTGAGCGCACCGAGAGGCGTGACCAATATTGGAGGAGCGAACAGGTATGCGGCAAAATTGGCGACTGAAACGCGTTTATGTCTTCGGTCTCTTTACAATTTATGATTCTTGTCCATACCTTCACCAATCACCACTTGAAGAAAACTTGGAGTTGACAACGACTAAATAATATATGGCAACTGGAACTCACGAGTGGATATCCCTGCCCACCATATCGGACTTTTCAGGTAGGCCAAATTATCTGATGCGTTCGCATATTCAGAGTTTTTGCTGGCCTCGTTGAGTCCCTGACGTTCATGAAAAATAACAAAGATCAGGACGATTGTGTGCGGCGGTGGGCCGACGCGGAGGTCAGGCGAACCTTTTTCGTGATGATGAAACTAGTCCCAATCGCCGCCGAACTCGAGACGGCCAGCGCGAGCCCAATATACTTGTCGTCGACCATCGTCGGCGCGTATAGCAGGCGGCGGTGGACAGTGTGGGCGATGAGTGCTACACGGTGCTGGTCGTCGTCGGTCTACACGCCAAGCACTTTCCAAACACGGTAGCTTACGTCACCTTCACCGAGGTGGCTGCGGAGTCGCGGACATCTTTTCAACCTTTTCGCTGAACAAGAGGTCCGAACCTTGGAAACAATGTATTTCATTGTCTGAAGCAGACGAGGCTCGTTACATGCAGATTCTATAGATGCTACAACTCCAGCGAAAGCAGACCGCAAGACGCTAGCGCAAAGTATTTAATCGAAGTACTGTACGTGCTCCGAGTTCAGAGACGCGGTCTTGTTCCCTGTTTTCCAGTAGATTCGTGATAGAATCGTAAAAAAGAAATACACGGTCGAATCAGAACGAAAGTACGTGAGTTTTTTTAATGTCTTCAGAGAGAAGGTCGGGCACAGGAAATCAAGGTCGTCGAGAATCTCAAAATATTTCAGTCACCAGTAATCCTACGCAGTGTTTCCGAGCAAATTGGGTTATCAGTAATATGTGGATATCCAGGTGTAGTCGAGATCGTCGTGTGCCGGAACCGCTTTCCTTTTTAGGGGGGAGTAGCTTTCTATTTTTTTTCTTTTCTTTCTGAGCATACATATCGTGATTCTCTATGTACTTGCTTCGAAAGATGCCTGAACGCTCGGCTACTCAGGAGCTGACCGTATCGGTGCTTGACTTGCGCGCGGACAACACGCGTTTGTCGTTGATTCCAACCTGATCGTCTCTACTGTACCTCGAGCTCGAGCAGTCCTGTCACTCAATGATCCAAATTTGCGACGAGATATCCAGCTTCGGCGTATGTCATCGCACGGACTGTCCGTACTCACACGATGTCTTCACTTGCCAGACGTGCCGATCTGTCTTCGAGACGAACGACGAGTATGATCAGCATATTTTGTCCCTCAAACACCGCCGTAGGGTGGTCCAGAATGAAAAGCGACTCGCTGGTATAAACCAACCAGTGTCCTGCACGGTTTGCTCAATCGACTTGACGAGCGTCGTCAATTATGAAATACACTCCCGAGGAAAGAAGCACTTGCAGGCCATGAGTGCCCAAGAGCTGTCTGAAGACCCTGGACCGGAGGAGCTCGAAGTTCCTCGCAACTGCACGCGGTGCGACGTCTGCTCGACGAACATTCTTACGCGAACCTGGGACGGCCATTTGGAAAGCCTGCGTCATAGAAATTCTGCGAAATTCACGTCGCTGAGAAGCGCCCTTGACGAATCCGAGCAGGACAAGAATGGTGTGGTCATTACAGATGATAGGCTGGATTTCGGCATCGTGGACTACGATTATGATGCCCCTGCCATCAAGTCAAAAATCATTGACTTTCAAAACACAAATTCTACGCCTATCTACCTCATACATGCTCGTCTCTCTTCGCAACAGACCAGCAGGGCATCTTCGTCACAGTAAGTTTCTACTAATTCCTGCATTGATACATTGGCGCTCAAATAGACGTCTTGTGTAAGCTTCCGTTTGGGAGAAATTGCCTCTCGAATACGCATCAAGCCTAACAAGAAGAGCACCGTCGTCGTCACCTTTGACTCTAGAGGCGACAGAGGCCGCTTCGAAGACCGTGCTGAGCTCGTTTTTGAAGATCCGACCCTGAACCGCCGATTCTCAATTACGCGCCCTCTCACCGCGACGGTAGGCGTTAAAGAGGATTATGAAGTGCTCAAGGCGCGGGCGCCATACGTGCGGCCAAAGCGTAAAGCACAGGAACCCATCACTGAAGTTACTCCCGGAGTCCCACCACCGTCGATCGCTGCGATCAAGTGGACCGTAAAGCTCGGAGAATACAAGGTGTCCCCAAAATTGACTCGGGTAGTCTTCAGCGAAGAGGCTGGAACGTCTTCCGAAGTTTCCAAACGCGTCCGTACGGCGTTTCTTCCTGATAAGTTCAACAGCGACACATATGGCCGTCATTTTATTATTCTGTTGTGGGTTGAGGAAGAGCGCGCGAAGAGGGATTTGCAGGTGTACAATATGGAGAATGTGACACTTTTGCCAGAACGTGCCCTCTATGAGTTCGTCTTTTTATTGCCTCGATGTTTTATTTATCTGACTTGCTCCGATAGACTCGAAGTCGACGGACTGGCCGAGAAGCGACCGAGCGTCATTATAACCGACCGAATCTTTGTCAAGCACTACAACTCGAAAAGCAATCACTGGTGGGAAGGCCATGTGCACAAGGTGAAAGAGCGGTCGGTTCTGCTCAAATTCCACGGTACTTTCAACAGCTTCAAGGGTCAAAAATATTATGTCCGATTCGACCTTAACCGCTTGACCTATAGGCGCATGCACCAAGCCTTGGGCACTGCATTTACATCTAGCCGCATTCTCTTCCCGGCAATCCAGGACATCGCCTCACTGCGCCCACCGCGCCAAGCACAGATGGATGATATTCGGGCCATTGACAGGAAAATAATGAAAATCCTCCGCAGTTGCAGGCAGTTGCTGCGATCCTGCATCGTCTTCCAGGAAGCGTGCCTTTAATTATTTACGGACCGTGAGTGTTAAATCAAGCCAGCTCTTCGTCGCCTTGCTGCACTCAACTTCTTTATTTAAAGACCAGGAACGGGAAAGACAGTCACCATCGTTGAAGCGATGCGTCAACTCATCCTTGACAACCCGGAAACTCGCATCTTCGCGTGCGCGCCGAGCAATTCTGCGGCAGATCTCATCGCCGAGAGACTCTCTGGACTCGGAAAGACTCAGCTTTTTCGACTAAATGCGCCTTCGCGGCGCGTAGACAGCGTCCCGAAGGGCACACTTGAATTTTCGCGCACAGCTCGGGATGCGGATGGACACGAGTCCTTTCTCCGTGCCACCGCCTGCAGAGCTCGCAAAGTTCCGTGCGGTAGTGTCCACGTGCTTCTCCGCGTCTGTGCCATACGGTATCGGCGTTCCAAGAGGCCACTTCTCGCATATATTTATCGACGAGGCGGGCCAGGCGACTGAGCCCGAGGTCATGATCCCCATCAAGACTATGGCGGGCCTCCAGACGAATGTGATACTGTCCGGAGATACCAAACAGCTGGGGCCAATCGTCCGCTCGCCTGTCGCCCGCGAGCTTGGGCTGAGCACGAGCTATCTAGACCGTCTAATGGCCAATCCAATCTATGAAGAGATTGGAGGGAGGGGTGTAACGTAGGTTTAGACAAATGCTAATTTGATTTAAGATCACTGACTTGATCACACAGCATCATTAAGTTGACGAAAAACTGGCGCTCGCATCCAGCCATTATCAAGTTTCCGAACGACGAGTTTTACCGGGGAGATCTTGAGGCATGCGGAGACCCAGCTATCACGCATAGTATTTTGCGCTGGGATGGCCTGTCGCGCAAGGACTTCCCTGTTATCTTCCACGGTATTTCCGGAAAGGATGAACGAGAGTCATTCTCTCCGTCTTTTTTCAACATCGCCGAGGCCTCGCTCGTCAAAGACTACGTGAAAAATCTTCTCGACGACAGAAGGCTGCGTTTGAGTGCGTGATATCCCTTGTATTGCCATATTGCGGGACACTGATTTGACTAGAACCGGAGCACATCGGGATTATCTCCCCGTACCATGCACAGGTCTGCAAGATCCGTCTAGTGCTTCGTCAGATTGCAAAAGAGATCAAGGTCGGGAGTGTCGAAGAGTATCAAGGCCAAGTGGGTCAAATTGCTGTTTACTTTTATGCCGTTTACTGACTGTTTCCAGGAAAAACGGGTCATTATCATTTCGACCGTCCGCACAAGCATGGACTTTGTTAAATTTGATTTGCGACACACTCTCGGATTCGTAGCAAACCCCCGCCGGTTTAATGGTATGTGTCGCAAATGCGATTAGCTGATATCTTGCAGTGCTGACCTGGACTACTTTATAGTGGCCATTACCCGTGCTCAAGCGCTCCTCATTGTCATCGGCGACCCGCTCGTCCTTGCCCTTGATCCGCTATGGAAATCGTTCATCAACTACGTACACCTTGCAGGAGGCTGCAAAGGCAAGCGCATCGACTGGGACCCTAGCGAGGATGTTGATCGGACTGGAGGAAACGACAACGCTAGGAGGACGCAAGCTATGACAGAGCTTGACGAGCTTGTTAGACGTACAAAGGAGGAAATTTTGAGCCAGACCGAGGACCTCGGCGATCACGGTGGTGAGGATGAAACTTTGGAAGGAAATGCTGAACGTCCATGGAGGGAAGACGAGTGAACAAATGTCAGGATAGTGAATGTAACTGTTGAATGTATTTTGTAACTGGTTCTTGAATAGTACAACATTCAGCTTCAAAACAAAAAAATGTAACACTTGGAAAGCACGAGATAACATGGAGAGTACCATTGCAAAACTATGCTTTGGCCCGGGATCGAACCGAGGACCGTCTGTGAACATTTAGCAATGTAAGACAGACGTGATAACCACTACACCACCAAAACTCCAAGAGGAAGTTATTATAGAGCAATATTGTTATGTGGGACAGGTTTTTGGTCTTTTATTTGAAAACCAGTGAGTTGTCGATCATTCGTGTCCCAATTTGGAAACACCGAGGTGCGTCGATCTTTGATGCGGCACGTGACTCCTTATGCCGTACCCCGTATTGACTTTCGAAACATCTCCTGCTCGTCATCTTGCCATCGAGTCTTTCATACTCCTACCATTCCCTCTCGCCTTAATTTAAGACAAGTGTGTTGATTTCGAACAGATCACATTTCGTTTTTGGACCTGTCGGCAGCTTATTGTTTTTTTGCATTAGCCGGCCTCGAAGCCCGTCAGGTTCCCGAATGGCCTAAATCCCAGTTTGTTTCTAAATCTACAGTCGAACCTCTTGTTAAGCATTGCCCTCTATGGACACCTCCACCTATGCTTAGCAAGAGGTTATGCCTAATGATAGGTCAATTCTGGTTATAATAGATGGGTTCTCACCATGCAGCTGATGCTTAACGGCAGGTTTATGCATAACGGCAGTATGCTTAACGAGGTTTGACTGTACACGACAATGAGTTGGCGTACATCTGCACGTGGGACAACGCAGCCTTTGCGAAAGATAACCTTCTCTGGATTGCGCATTGGGCGGATAGAATTAAACCCAAGGCCGCTTTTCGAGTCGAGCTAGTGTCAGACTCATGAACTGACATACGAGCCGCACGTATCTGTAAGTTCTACACCTGAAAGAACGCGGAAAGCACGAAACCGAACCCTGGGGATTCTGATATCTTTAGCGGCGATTTGGCCGGATTCCATAGGGATCATGAAGGTGATTAATACGAAGGTACGCAACAACCAACAGATATTCAATTTTTGTCTTGAGCATCTTTAAATGTTTTTGTACAAAATAAAGGGTCGAATGTCTTGCTTGATAGCGTCGCATCGGTCCTTTAATCATTAAGTTCATGACGGCCTTTAAGATCTGAAGACTGGCTAAGATATGCCGAAGTGTTCTCGAACTTGTTGCTTTTTGTCGACATCCGTTACGAGCTTATTCGATGGATTAGTACTTAAGACCGCGGACTAGTTCAATCAACAATACATGCATATATTTTGTTTGAGATACAGCCGGGACGAACACGTACAAAAACAAGAGACTGCAATCAACTAGCGCGGTTCCCTCGGTTCTGCAAGAAAACAATGAGCAATATGATCGACTTTTGCTATAAAAAAGCTAGCTTACGTGACCAAGCGCAGTTTAGAATGAGGCTGTCGTAGCCCATGCCGTTCACCTTCTGCAGCGCGCGTTCCGCGTTCGCGCGGTCCTCAAAGCTGACGAACGCATAGCCTTTGCCCTGGCCTGTCTCACGATCGCGACCGATGTACACACGTACGACACGGCCGAAATTGCTGAACAATTCGCGCAGGTCCTGGTCTTCTGTGTCTTCCGACACATTCGTGACGCGCAGTGTCGGCAGGTCGTCCCGACCCGCACCAGGTCGCCCCATCGACTCGCCTACTCGCGCACCCGCACCGCCACGCATAGACGGAGGGACGTACTTCCCACCAGCGGAGGGTGCCGCTGGCGCAGCCGTATCGTCTTCGCCAAGGGGTGGAGTATCTACAGTACCAAATCAGTTAAAAAAGAGAGGGAGTGAAGGACTGACATACCAATACCGGTTCCTGGAGCATCGAGACCAGCCAGCGAATCCTTATAAGGACATCTAGCCGTAAAATGGTCGCCCTTGCACATTCGACAGAGCACCTTGCCCGCGCCTGCCTTCGCCAGATTTGTTTTTATGTTGTCCTCCGGTGTCGGCTCGGGCTCCGCAGACTTATAAACTTGGATTAGAAGATCGAACAACTTCGGTAAAAAGCATCGCGCACGCACCTTGTTGCCAGCACTGAGTTTTAAGGCAACATTTTCGCCCACCGTCGTTGTTGCGCGATCTGGGCCTGGCTTGTTCCCTCTCTCCTGCCCAAACTTCGCCCAGCCTTTCCGCTCCGCGACTGCGTGCTCTACGACCGCTTTCTGAAGCGTCCGTCGTATCCGCTTGGTAATCTACACTAACGTTGATGAAAAATACTGTCAAAACACGAAAGACAGAGCAGGCACCTATGTGCGCACCTTCACTTTCTTTCCCTCGTCATTGAAGGAGTACTCGACTGTTGTGATGATGCCATTTTCGTCCGTACTCTCTTCGGATTTTGGCAGTCTCGGTTGTTCTGCAGAAAGTAAGACGCTGCGACCTCAAAAATGTCTGACTGAAAACGCACCAAACTCGTCGACATCATCTGCCCAGGACGTCTTTTGCGCTCTACAATTATGCATTAGATAGATCGTATGCCTGCAAAACTCTTGCGACTGACGTTGCGGAGGCCATGTTGTTGGAATATACCGCTTCCTGCGTCGACAAGGATGTGTGTCAGAGTCTCAGAGATTTCGCCACTTGACGCTCGACGTCTTTGTAAGCGTGAGAACTTCCTTACTCTACTCTGGCACACAGCACAAACCTGGACGTCGACTTCTTGCACTGCATGAAAAACGCTACGACTCACTGCCATGCAATTATCTAACCTTCCTGACGAAACGCTGCAACAAATACTGCTATTCCTGAGCTTGAAGGATTTGCTGTCTGTTTGCGCGACTAATAAGAGGATCCGAAAACTCTACTATGAGGCCCCGGTTCAATACAAAGCGGAGCTGGAAGCCACAGGACATCAAGAGATGCCCACAGTACCGGGTGACTCTATTGATAGCAGCTCCGTCCAACAACGCCTATCTTACCTCCGCAACCGTGAAGCTCGCTGGCACAAACCCGCTCTTCTGAAGCGGGCGGTAGGACTGACGATGCCTGGAAATGTGTCGTTTAGTCTGTACGACATAACTGCAGGCATCTTCATTTATGGGGATGGCGAATCTGGGAGTGGGCTCAAATACTTGAACATTGAAGAAATCTCTCGCGATAGTGGATCTACTACAGATATCTCGGAACATGACATACCAATGCTCTCTGTCGCTTGGCAGGACTTTCCATTCCCAGGAGATTTGTTGGACTTTGGAATGGCTTTGGTGGAACACGACCTTATTGCTCTTGTGAGCTCCGAAAAAAGAGGTGTAGAAATCCAGGGAAGTCAAAGTCGGTAAGGTTTATTACTTGTATTTTCGTAAATTTTCTAGCTTCTCACAAGTTCTTTCAAATCTGCTCCCCCCCCCCCTCTCTCTCTTTTACTTTTGTATTCAGGGTCCAAGATATTAGGGTCCATTTCTTAACATTTTCAACAGGCCAGCCTCATGCCAAGGCAAATGAGCCGGTCATAAAGTTAACAGACAAGTCGCCGATTCGCCCCATCGCTGTCCTTGAAATTGTGGGAAATTACGCCGTAATCCTTCTCAAGTATCCACATGCACGGAAGGAAATTGAAGAACTATTTATCTTCAATTGGAAGTCAGGGCATCAAGTTGAGGTGCAATCTCAATGCACATTTGTTTGTGATGCTCGTACTGATATACTCGTATCCCCACAATCAATAGCGTCAAACCTACTCCCAACCAACATATGGTGCTCTTTCCTTCATCACTCCTTCCCTCTTTGTCATGCCGAACAGAATCCAGAACTCCCTTGATTTATTTCATATACTCGTCTCACGCGATGTCAACAACAATGTCAGTGAGCAGGTTTGCTATTTAAGAAGACTTTGTCTTCCTGAGCTGGCGGATGAGTGGCAAATAACCTCTGCAGAATGCCGGGGTGATCCAAACCCGATGGGTTCCACCCCCGACTGCCTTTCAAGCACGTATCCTCAGGCAACTGGATCAGGAGCACAGACGAAGAAGTGGAATACCTCTGTGCACAAGATCATGGCAAATCCTGCAGTGGCGATCATAACTTTCAATCTTGTGCTCTTCAATGCGGATACTTTCTCATTCGCGTCATTGAACCTTGTTGTTCATCGGTCCGCACTGGCTCGCCTTGCTCTGGATACCCTGGAAATTTTCGAAAAGAGTTCAGCATTTGACAGAAGCAGTACTGATGTTCACAAGGTACACATCACAAAGTGGGAATATTGGTGTCAAGGCATCGTTCGGTGGCACTTGGTTAACGATCCTAACGAGTGGATTACCACAACGGCAGGCCAGCGTCAGGTGCTTAGGTCAGAAGCAAAGGATACTCTTGAACCTATCATCATTTTAAGGGACTATAATCCGTACACTGTCCGGCGTGCAAAATGCGCTGGAAAAGCCGTGCACGTGGACAGCCGAGATGGAATACCGTTTTGTGACTGGGAGATCGAAGACGAGGGTGATGGCGATGAGGACGAGGGTGGCGAACATGAGGCGCGTGATGACGATGGTGGCGACGGGGGGCTGAAGGACGTCAACACAGGCGAGGGAACACCAACGTGTGCCGTGCCTAAATTCTCCTGCCGTTCTGTGCGCGTCAGGGATATGAGGACCGACTTCCATTCTGTCTACTTCAAGAAAGGAGCTGTGCAGTCAGATCTACCTTGTGTCGAATACATCATCAAAGGCGACAGTAATATGTATTCAGGACTGTCCCTCGACGACGAACGGATCATTGGTTATCTGGTAAGTGCCAAACGCTAAACTTGAAAAGATGTCTGCTGAGACGATATGCAATCATCTGTTAGGAGGATACTCGGGATGATATGATAAAACATCTTCTTATTTTTTCTATGGCCCCTTGACCATTCCACAACTCGACTCGAACAGCAACAAGTTTTGACACCTGCGTTCAACTAATGTCAATAGTACTGGAACAGATAATTCAATGATGGGCTATATCTTTTTAAAGTGCTTATATAGCGAGCGTGAGCGTGCAGTGAACCAAGAGAGTATCCGAAGTACTTACAAGTGAAATAATCTCAACGTCGTTTTTCAAGGTAAGTGCGTACGTAGTACGCGTTCTACGGATTCGGCAAGCAAATCATTCTTCGGGGGCCAGTGGTGACGTGTTCTCACGCTTCTCCCACCCAGAACACTCAGGAC